GGGCCTCTGCTTGGGGAAGGGAAATGGGGAGGGCGGTGTTGCAAGGCCTTTCTGGTGGGGGGAGGGGAGCAGCTGCCACGTTCTTTCAGTGGCTCCCCTGAAAGTCACAAAAGAAGGTGAGGTGAGGTGGGGGGGGGTCCTCACCCTCCCTGCCAAGGGGGGGCTCAAGGCAGAACCTCACTTCGCTGCCCCCCCTTAATCGGAAGAGATTAGGAGCCCCTCCCCACTTTCTTTTCAGTCCCCTGAGGGCTGCCCCTGCCCCTCACCTGACCTGGCCACACCTGCCAGGTGCCCTTTATCCCCCAGCCAGCCGGGGCCCCCCGTACCTGTCTGCAGCGGCCAGGTTGTCCAGGCAGGTGCGGAGATACTTCTGGTAGTAGTCCACCTGCTCCCGGTAGAAGCGGCGCTTGGAGGCCAGGCCTCGCAGGGTCTGCTGCAGCTTGGCCAGCTGCCCCCTGCGGCCCTGCCGGCGATGCCTCTGGCAGCGGATGTCCTGCGGGGAGGGGAGAGCAGCCCAATGCACCGAGAACGGCCCCCGCCCCTCCTCTGGGACCCCCCCACCCCCACCCGGCTTCTCAACCAACCCCCAGGCGGCCCCCCTATTTCACGAGGGAAGGCGACTTCAACTCCCAGCTACGCTGGCTGAGGAATTCTGGGAGTTGAAGTTCCCGGATCTTAAAAGAGTCACCAAGGCGGAGAAGCCCCCTGCGCTGGAGGCGCCTCCCTCTGGCCCCCCAGGAGAGGAACCTTCCCCACGGCAGGCCTAACATCGGCTTCCGTGCTATTTTACTCCTCCCGTTTTGCAGCAACCGTTAGCCAAGATGCACAGCCCACCCTTGCCAGGCAGGCCAGAGAGCGGAAGAGGCCAGGGGTTGCCAACCCTCCTCCCGCAGGGCAGCTTCTCCGCTGCCTGGGTCACCTGGGCAATCTCGCGGAGCAGGGCCTGGGGCTGGCCGGCCGAGCCCGCCAAAGCCAGGCGCTCCAGGTTCTGGAGGACTTCCGTCTTCTTCTCCGCCAGGGAACGGTGGGCCCGCTCTTGGCTCTGCGGGTGGCCAGCGGCCCTTCTCCTCCACAAGAGCTGTTGGTGGAGCTGCTCCTGCGGAAAAGGAGGTTGCAACTCGGACTGGTGGCTGAGGGACCGGCCGTAAGTGGAAGGGGACCAAGTCAGCTACAGCCCAAACATTCCTACACAAGCGGAGGGTCCCGTTGGTGTCTCTCCGCAGACCAGCAGCTCCCGTCATTCCAACTGCAGAGTTGATTGCTTACTGGCCTCCCCAGGGCCAACTGGGGTCCAGTGCGGCTGTCCTGGGGGTGAGGGAGACCCTTCCCCACGACAGGAAATGTGAAGGAAGATGGGCTTTTATTCTCTTCCGGTTCCGGAGATCCTACCGATGGGTCTGCATTTCTCCCATCACCTCCACGGCTGCCTTCCCAGAACCCCCTAAGCAGGGTGACGTCTGCCGGGGGGGGGGGGGGGGGGCTTAGGGCCTCTGTGGGAAGGGGCGGGGCCACCCCCGCTTCACCTGGAGGAATCCGGAGGGCAGCACCTGGGCAGACTCGGCCCGGAGGCCCCCGGGAAGGGCACTGCGCCCCTGCTGGGCAAACGGGGGCCCTGCTGCCCGCTCCACCCACCTCCTCTTCTGATGCCTTGGAGTGCAGGATCTCAGCCAGGGAGTCGCCAGGCTGGGACTGGATCACGTCCACCAGCATCCGTTTGGTGCTTCGTCCCAAAAAGAGAAAGGCCAGAGGTCACCGGTCACTGTGGGCAGAGGCTGAAAGGGTCACGGAGACGCTGCCCAGCAGGAGCCCTGGGAGAGGTCACACTGTCTGAGCTCTTTGGGCTGGGATTCTAGGAAATGGACCCACAACTGATCCTGCCCCGTTTTCCCGGGGCCCCTTCTTGACCAAGCTGTGACCCTCAGGGAGCAAAAAGGGGCCCGTCCAAATTCCGCTCTGAGCCACCGTTTGGTCAAGAGCGGCTCTCTTTGCAAGCCACCCCTCTAGTTCTCCTAATGCGTCTTCGTCACAACGCCAACACGGCCACAGGCGTCGGGCGCAATAAGGGTGTGAGGCGTTGAACAAATCTAGATGGCCTCGGCCTTCTCCGCCCGAAGGGGCCCTTCGCAGCGAGAGAGTGGAGCCCCCCACGGGGCGGCAGCTGCTTCCTCCCTTCAACTGGCTTTGCACGCAACCTCCGACCGGCCACTTTCCCCTGGCTTCCCCAGTGGCTACTTGTGGGAAGCCGGTGGGAAATGGCAGCGGGGTCCTTGCTTAACCACCACGATCGTAGCCACATGACCTCACGCTTTACCTAAAGTCCTGCACTCTCCTCTTCCCACCAGCTTCCTATATCGCGGAGTGTCTTTGTGCTCCCGAGTGTCGTCACCCGCTTGCTATTCACGGGGTTTGGGGGGGGGGGAGCCGGGCCCGGCCACCTTCCCTCGCAAGGGGACGCAGTCACCTACCTCAGCCACAGGCCTTCGGCACCTGCTTCCCCCTCGGCTTCGGCCTCCACCCCGCTGTACCTGCCGCTGAGCGTGAGCGAGAGCTCCGTGCTGGAGAGCTGAGACAGCGCGTCCTCCCAGGGCCCGTTCGCCCCCTGCCCCGGGCTGTGGCCTGCCGAAGGACAGCAATCCAACAGGTTCATGGGAGCGAAGGAAGAAAGCAAGGCGGGTGCCCCGCACTCCTTTGGGCGGATGTTTGCATGGGTTGGGGGAGCCTATAACGTAGGGCACCCCAGCCGCGCGAACCGAAGGCCAGGGAGGGAGGAGAGGACGATAGAAGAGAATCTCTGTAGCTCAGGACTGAGGCATGAAGCTGAGCTGGCTTGTTTCCCTGAAGACCTTTCAGTCCCAATCTAGATAACATCATCAGTGCTAGAAGGTGGTAAGGTTTGCTCCAGGGGTGGGCTTCCAAAAATTTAGCCACCAGTTCTCTGCCCGGTTGCTGGGTGGGTGTGATAGGCAACCTATCTATCCCGTCTATCTTTTCTGTCTGTCTGTCTATCTCTCTATCTATCGAATCTATCTATCCATCTATCCTGTCTATCTATCTATTTTTGTGGATATATTTACTGCTTTAATGTTTGTGATTGTTTTATAATTTTAGAACTGTAAGCCACCTGGCCACCTGGTTGAGTTGGGTGGCTTCAGAAATTGAATGAACGGAATGCAGAAAACTGAGACGGGAGAGACACGCCAGTCTCTGGCAGGCCAAAATTAGGAAGAGCCTGCCAGCACCTTTCCCAACTGGCAAACTTTACTAGGACTGTAAATTCTGGTGAGCCGCAGCCTTTCATAGGACAGGCATCGGAAAAGGTGCTGCCGGAGGCCTCCTCTTTGGGGCGGGAACAGGGCCTTCACTCCCACGCCAATAGAGTACCGGGAGGGACGCCATCCGTCCGAAGGGTGCCCACAGCTTACCTATCAACGCGGCAACGGTTGGCACCTCTCCAAGGTCTTGCAAAAGTTTGTGCAGCACATCCTGGGGATCGGGAGCCAGGGAGTGCTGGTGTTCCAGCAGCAACTGTGGGGTTGGCAGAGAGGAAGAAGCAGAGAAGGAAATTCCCGGTTGCCTTATTTACACAACTTGCCTCTCCAAATGGAGTAAAACCAAAGATCATTTGGATAATCAAAATACAGCCTTAAAAACATGAATCAATGAAGGGATAAGCAGAAATAAGACAACAAAGGTGAAGGATCTGAGTAGCAAGAAAGCCGTAGACAGTTACTCTAAGTCAGGGGTGTCCAACCTCGGCCACTTTTAAGTCTGGAGGACTTCAACTCCCAGAATTCCCCAGCCAGTTGGTCTACAAGTCTTAAAGCGTCCAAGGTTGGACATCTGCCGCAAACCAAATGGCTTTGTGGAAAAGAGATACAGCCAAGGGGGAAACTAGAAGGCAAAAGTGGGTTCAGGTCCATAAAAACTATGGGCTTATTTTAAAAAAAGCCAGATTGTTGGATTTTCACATGTCAAGCCATAAAGCCTGGCTTGCAAACTCATAAAATCACAAACAAGCAATCCAGAGATTGGTTTGGCCTACGCACAAAAGCAATGATTTCTCTCCCCTTAAATCATTTTTTTTCTGACATTTGAGGTTTGCACCTTGTGGGTTTTGACCAGCTCCCCAACCGTTATATAGACCACTGGTTTGGTGATGGCCAGCAGCTCTGAATATTTGTCCACATTAAATCTCTCTTCCGGTTCAGGGACCAAACAGGCTGCGTCGATGAATGCTCTGGAAGAGACAGAAGGAAAAAAAACAAAAGAACATGGAATCATGGAAGGGACCTTGGAGGTCTTCTAGTCCAACCCTCTGCTCAGGCAGAACCTATACCATTCCAGACAAGTCCAGTCTCTTCTTAAAAACCTCCAGTAATGGAGCACTCACAGCTTCTGGAAGGAAGCTGTTCCTCTGGTTTATTGTTCCAACTGTCACGAATTTTTTCTTCAGTTCCAGGTTGCTTCTCTCCTCGATTACCATATTTTTCGGAGTGTAAGACACACTTTTTCCACCCCCAAAAGTAGGTGGAAATATCACACATGTTGCCTGCGTAGCTCCAAGGGACTCTTGAGGATGAGCAGACGGAAGGGCGTCCCCCTTCCAGCCGCACCCAGCCAAAAGCCAAGCGGGCGGATTAGAATATATGCTGCCCCCATAAGGTGGGCAACTGGGGGGACTCCCAGTTAACGGGCCAGGGGATGCCAACGCAGGCATCCAAGAGCTGCAAATGGGGCAGGGGTCCCATTGCACTTGGAGTGGGGAGGGACGCTCCTTTGGTCCTTCTTCAGGGTTTGGGAAGGAAGATAACGGGAGATGAGGGCGGGCGTTTCATCCCCTGACCCACCTGAATTTATGGTGTGTTTCCTCCAGGTACTGATTGACCACGTTCAAGTGGCTGTTTTCTCCCTCGAAAAGCTGGCTGGCAGCCGCGTGCTGCAGGATCTTGGCCACGGAGGCCAAATTGCGCCGCTGGTCAGGGTGCAGGGGTGCCCCAGCAGAGAAGTCCACCACGTCAAAGCCGTCTGGCGCCACCACCGCTGGGTTCATGAAGCGATAGTAGAGCAGGTTGCCCACCACCTAGGACGGGAGGGCGGCAGGTCTTACTGGAAGGAGCTAGGCTGGTACCTAGGCGGCTCATTGTTTCTGGCGGCGCCAACGCGTCTGCTGCTGACCCTCCTGTTTGAGTTGATCCACCCATTCCCAGGGCTTAGGAACTTGGAGAACCTCGAGCCAAAATACTGGCCCTCCCTCTTGCGAGCTGCTGTGATGGGGCCGGCCAGTATGGACACAGGGGCCACAAGCGTTTTCCTTGAGTGAGCCTCTAAAGGCAACTCCCGAGCTGCTTCTCTGGGCAGCCACGGAGCCACCGAAAGGGGTGCCTGGATCAGGACAACTGGACAAACCCCCTCTGGACTCTCCCTGGGGGGGTTCCCAGGCAAGGACTCAACCAGGTTAAAGCTAGTTTTCAAGGCCAATCAAATCGGGAGGGTGCTGTGACTGGCCGGGTGACCTTCGTGCTATCTAACACAGAGTTTTCATTTTCGCAGACCAAGGACGGGCGGAAACAGCTACGGATCCCTGCCCTGTAGCCCCCCCTCCCCCCAACCTTTGGGGCACCAGGGACTGGTTCTGTGGAGAGGAGCTTTCCCACAGACCGGAACAGTTTCTGGCCTGGTGCCGGCCCAGAGACCGGGCGTGGGGGGGGGACCCCTGCTGTAGCCCATCCCAAGGGGATGTCAAGGTTCTACGGTTGACTGATAAACTCATCAAATAACCTTAAATGGGGGGAAATAGAGCAGACCCTGGCCTACCCCCTCACCCCACCCCACCCCAGGCTCCAGACCTTGTAGATCTCTCCCTTGGAGGCATCTGGAAACTTCTCCGTCAAAGTTGCCTTCAAGACCTTGGCCACGTAGCGCATCCCGTACCTGAAAGGACAGCCAGATTTTATTCCTGGGTGGGCAGGAAGTAGCCCCCCTCCCCAAGACGCAGCTCCTGGGTACGCTAAGAGAAGAGGGTGGAGAAAATGGGTCAAAAAGGGGGTCCGTCTGTGACCTCCCCTCTCCAGTATGGAGCAATCCGATGGAAGGGTAGTTTTGGTGAGCATTAATCTGATGGGTGTGAAAACTGTCCACCCCACCTCTCCAAAAGGTTGCTGTTTTTATTTATTTATTTAGCGTATGGCATCTACGGACTCATCAATCGCTGATATACAAATTTAGTTGAAACAAAACGCCAGCATAAATATCTGTGCAATAGAAAAGATAACATGCTAAATTAAAATAAAACCAAAGTAAGGTTTTATAAGGGTGCTGATGGGGAAGTGGGATGTGGGGCGGTCAGAGGCCCCATCTAGCCACAATTTTGCCTTTTCTCTCTTCTTCCCTTGACTCAGTTTCCCCCCACAGGGTTGTTTGCAAAGGTAAATTGCAGACTGAAGCGTCTTCCCTCTTTGGAGGAAGCATTATACACACGTACGTCCCGGGAACTGCTATCACTATGTAGGGATGGGACCCTCCTGGATGTTCATTTTATATTTTTGCGCAATGCCCTGCGGAGTTGTTGCTTAAACCCAGGGCCAGTAACGTTGCAGCGGCTGCGTGGCCTGAAACGGGGGCATCTTTTTGCCATGTTGCCTAAAATCCCAGCCCGTCTTTTCGTCTGCCAGCCCGGCGGCTGCCCCCGCCGGAAGCTTCGCGTGAGCTAAGACCGGGCTGCCAACTCTAGCAGGCCTGAAACCGCATTGTGGCCATTCCCTAACGCCAGCAGTTTGATCTCCTGCTGAAGGGGGCAGGTTGGGAGCCAGGGGCCAAGCCCAGCGTGAGAAGAACGGCAGCAGAATGCAAGAGATGTGGCACGAAACCCGTACGGGATCTTGTCCACCGACGAGAGGATGGCCGAGAGAAACCTGTCTGCCAGCACGAGGAGATGGCCGAGGGAGATGTCCAGCCGCCTCTGGACCTCTGGGTGGCCGAGGGCTTGTTGTGGGGTGACGTTGTACGGCAGGTGGCTGGGGAGAGACAAAAACAGTGGCAGCAACTAAAGACAACAGTGTGTCAGCACGGTTGCCGTTTCTACCTCCCACAATTGAGAGTCAGTGTTAGTTTGCCTCGTGCAGAAGAGACGTTGTGGGTGCCTGCCAGGGCCACGTCTCGGCTCCCCTCTGTCCTGCCCTTGTTGGAGTCGGACTCTGAGGGGGGGATTGAGCAGCTGACAGGGAGTGGGCGTGGGGCTCTGGTGGCTGTGGAGGAAACGGGGGAAGGGCACAGTCCGGCTGGGTGGTCAGAGGAAGACCCAGGGCCACCCCCTCTTCATCCTAGGGCACGGAGGGAGGAACGGAGAAGGGACCAACGTGGCTTACGGGAGGGGAAAGGGACCTGATTCCCTTCATTAGTTGCAGCTGGGAAAACAGGATATAAGAAAGGCACAACAGCCCCTTGCTGGAAGCAAAGCGTGCATTATCTTTGTCGAGGCTTATCTGGGTTTTGGTGTCCTCCCAACTGTGTGTGCTGCGTTATCTTTTGGAAGTCTGCAATTTATCATCCTGGCCTGCTGTGTTAATGACTCCAGTGTGGTTTGTGTTGGGTTTTTTTTTTATTTCTAATTATCCTTACTTTTGGTTCAGACTGCATTTACTTTCTTCATAGACTGCTTTTGGCAGAGTTTGATATCAGGCGGAGGATAATTGGATGTTGGGGCTCAAGTCGGAGGCATTCAAGGGAATTGATTCTACCATTGTGACTGTGTTATTTTTGTGTCACAGCCCAGAGTGGAGAAATGGCCGCTCTGGCTGCCCACCTCTTCTGTCCGCTCTGGCACTCCATCTCGTTGATCCACCCCCTGTAGATCTCCACGGGGCTGGTGCGGATGCTTAGGCTCCTGTCGTGCAGAACCTCCTGCACCGGCTCTGCCAGGATCTGGCGCAGGGCGTTCTGCCCACGGGCGTTGCGGTAAAAGCTCACCACCATGCGGATCACTGTGGGGTTCCCCGTGAGGATCTCTCGCAGCTGGGTCACTCTGGACCTGGGAGGAAGACAAAGGCAGCACCTCGGATCTGGCGGGAGGAGGGCGGCCAGCATCTGTGGCCAGCATTGTTTTGCTCCGGAACAACATCTCGGCATGTGCAAGGAGACACAAGGTTAGAAGAAGAACAAAGAACAGAACAGAGATCTCCAAGCCTGGCTAGCTCTGCTGGCTGGGGAATTCTGGGAGTTGAAGTCCTCCAGGCTTGAAGTGGCCGAGGTTGGAGAGCCCTGCCCTAAACTGTTCTCGGAGGGTGGGGGGAAGCAGGGAGGGGGAGCCAAGGACTTACGCAATCTCCTCTTGCAGGGCCCGCTGGAAGAGCTGGAGCAGAAGGTAAGCCTCTCTGGGGCTGGAGGCGTAATTGTAGAGGCTGAAGACCACCGACTCCATGAACTTGGTGGACTTGTTGGGTGGCATCTGCATGAGCAGCCTGGCCAGACACACCGGCTGAGTCTGGGAGGAGGAAGGAGAGAGGGAAACAGCAGGAAAGGGCTATTGATGCGCCAACGGCTTTCCTGGACCGCGAGCCCCACTCGCCCACCCCGGCTGAGGGCAGCTAACAACCGCTGAGCCGCCCGGACGTCCAGGCAGGGGACCATATTCCCGGGGCACAAACCACAAACCCGGGTGGTGCAGTTGTCCAAGCTCGGCTGCAATTTGATCAAGAATAACTGACATAGATCGCAAGGCTTAATCCTTAATAGGACCAAGATTAAAGATCTCGAAGTTGCCTCTTGGATCTAATATTACTTTTGAGGGTCTGGTTCAATTTCACACAAGCTAAACCTTTCTTCCTTCCTTTTTGCATCATGGCTGTGCTGATAAGGTCTGCCTTAAAAAAAAGAGGGGCTACACAGGGGACCAACGAGGGGCCCCGTCATAAAGCAGACGTGGCCTGATGTTACTCTGTAGGAGCCCCGACTGAGAAACTCCTTGTCGGGCGCGACGCAGCGGGGGAAGGGACCCCGTGGCTCGCAGCTTTGCCTCCCGCAAGGGCTGCTGGTCCAAGGCCACCAGGTGCTGCCCACCTGCAGGTGGTAGAAGAGGTGCTGGTAGGCCTCGAGCGCCTTCCGCTTCTCCTTGCTGAGCGCCTTCAGCCCGTTGTTCTCCTGGCTGACGTCCATCCTGCTGGACAGCTCCTCCTTGTTCTTCTTGGTCAGCGTCTTGCAATGGGACACCACTTCCTGCCAGGGGAGAAGCCGGACAATGGCACCCCCCCCCCCGCCTCCAGCTCTCCCCTCCCCACTCAGGAGGCCGCTGGCAGGAAACAGGCTGTCCCAGAATGGGAGGGTGAGGCCGGGAGGACACACAAGGGGCCATTTCAACAGACACACACACGCACGCGGCAAGAGAAAGCAAGCGGAGAAGCAGCTTTGGAAGAGGCGGGCAGAGGTGAGGCTGGCGAGGAGATCGCCTCTGCCTCTACCCAAGAAATGACCCTTTGGCCAGGCAGCTCATGGGCTCCGCTGCTCAGTAAGAGCCACTTCCGCCTTCGGGTGGAAAGGTCAAGGACAGGATTATTCCACCTGGGCCACTTTAAGACGCGCGGACTTCCACTCCCAGAACACCGCAGGGCTGGCCGTGGAATCCTGGGAGTTGAAGTCCTCCCGCCTGAGAATGCAGGTCAAGCGCTGCTCTCCTCTTCCTCGGGAGGCTAAAAGCCCGCAGGTTGATTCCCACAGTGCAAAACATTTACCGATTGCTACTGGGTGGTTTGATTTGACAAGGCAGCAACTTTGCCTCCAAAACTGGGGAAGGAGCCGCTTCTAAGCCAAGAAGGCCGAATTCCTGTCCCTGCGTAGAAACCGAGCGGCCGCTTCCACCGGGGCTCCCACCCTCGCCCAGAGCCCCCTCCCCAGCTGGAAGCAGCGCTCCCTTCTCCACCTGCAGGGTGATCCTGTTCTTGACCAGCAACCCGATCTTGATGTCCATGAGGTTGAGGTCGCTCTCCAGCTGCTGGTTGGAGCGGATCCCCCTGGCCAGCTTCTCCTGGAGCCCCAGCAGCTCCACCTCCTCCTGGGTGTCCCGTTGGCTCTGCTCCAGCAGGTGGGCGAAACGCCGGATGACACGGAGTGGGGGCTCCCTGCAGCGCACTGGCAGCCAGGAGAGAGAACGCAGAACCGGCCATCACCCTCCCTGCCCCCCGGACCTTCCACATCGCTCAGGGTGGAGGAGGGAAGGCTCCGTGGTGACCCTCACCGGCCCCCCCTTGAAGCAGGGCCCAAGTGGGAGCAGCGATTCCCGCCAATCTTGGGAAGGAAGAGCCCAGCCCTGGCTACTCACCCAGCATCCGATAATCCTCTCTTGCCTTGTTGGCCCGGACGAAGGCCTGGATCTTGACCACGGCAGCCACCTGTCAGAGACGCGGGACAAGGGACCGCCTGCTCAGGGCCTGGCCGGGCCACCTTTCCCCGCTCACAGAAGCCCCCAAGTGGGGGAAGCAGGTCAATTGGCCCACAGTGTAGTTTGGGGGTGAGCCTGGTTGGGTAAATCTAGTGATTTTCCAAGCCGAGACGGCCATCCGGGTGCGCCCAGAATTCACCAGCCTGGCTTTACAAGAAGGACCAGCCCAGGAAGAGGGAACAGAAACGGCCACAGCAGATTTTCTGCCCTTCCCAAGAGAGGTGGCTGGGTTGCCCACAGAGAGAAGGATGTGGGGGGACAGAGAGCAGTAAAAAAATAAACCCTGATCATTGGATCATGTTGATCCCAAAAAGCTGCCTGCTAAAAAGTTGGCTGCTCCAACCCATTTCTTCTCCCACCTGGAGCATGGAGGTCGGCGAAGACGAGCGACAACAAAAGGGATGACTTTATTTAGAGCAGGGATCTCCAACCTTGGCCACTTTAAGCCTGGA